GAGGGGGAGGCATGCCATTTGTTGTGCAAGAGCCTTTGTGGGGGTGTCTCAGACTGAGTGGGGTACCACGGAGCTAAGTTAGAGACATAGGAGGGTGTTTGGAGAGTCAGAGAACACCTTTGTGCACATTCCATACTTCACCTGGTGAACTCCTCTTGCTCCTTCAAGATGAATTCTCTTCTCATCCCTCCCCTCTGAGGAGTCTTCCCTCAGTGTCCCCACCCCACCCTGAGATCACCTCTGATCCCCTGCACCCCTGTAGTACCCTGTGGCTAGCTGTACTACTGTCCTGAGCATGTTGTGTTATCATGATCTTTTTGTATCTATCGTAATGCAAAAGGGGACTTTGTCATATTAATTTTGGGCTCGCTGGTGCCTAATGTAGTGTGTGGCACATAAAGCTTAATGATCGTTAAATGAATAAATACACAAGAATGTATAAATTAGGACTATAGTAAGGATCATTTTGCTTCTTAGGCAAATATTCAAGGGGTTTCTAGTGCTCTTCGCATCACAGTCCAGTAGCTCAGATGGATTCAGTGGTGAAATAGCTTTTTTAGATAAACCTGAGAAACGTGCCATCATTTGTAATGCTGTTTCCATGAGAAAAAATGAAATTCATTTTGTGCTTTCAAGAGCCAACTTCTGGATGAATCCCTAGGTCACACGTTACAGTAGTTCCTCCTTATCTGAGGTATCCTTCACGCAGTTTTGGTGACTGACTCATGTCCCCCTCTAGTCTGGAAGCAAATGAGCCTCCCCCTGACACAGCGTCAGAAGGTCAATGGTAGCATAATAGCACGTCCCAGCACCTGCGTCACTCACCTCACGTCATCTCCTCATGTAGGCATTTCCTTGTCTTACGCCATCACAAGAAGTGTGAGTGAGGACAGGGGTGCCTTACTGGCTCAGTCGGGGGAAGCGTGGGACTCTTAATCTCAGGGTCAGCTTTGTGAGTTCAGGCCCCACACTGGGTGTACAGATTACTTAAATTCTTTAAAAAAAAAAGAAGAAGAAGCAGAGTGAGCTCAGTATAATATTTTGAGAGAAAGAGAGACCACACTCACCTTTTATTATAGTATATTATTATAATTGTTCTAGTTTATTGTTAGTTATTGTTAATCTGACTGAGCCTAAATTTAGAAAGTAAACTTTATCAAAGGTACGCATATATAGGAAAAACATGTATATATAGGGTTCGGGACTATCTCTAGTTTTAGGCGTCACTGGGGGTGTTGGAACCTCTCCCCTGCAGATGAGACAGGGCTACAATATTGCCAATTTAAGAACTGCCTGTACCTGCCAACATGCTCCTTGCTGAGCCCTTAGTATTTCTTTTCTTCTTCTACCAATGAAAATACAAATGAAAACAAGAAGTTTTCAACTTCTACCAGTGATCTAAGTTGTCCAGAAAATGTTACTTCTAAAAGTTTAAGCAAAGGGAATGTTTCCATTTTATCCCTTAAAAGGTAAATTCCATGAGCTGAGTCTGGATCTCCCCCATTTCAGGCCTTTTCAAAATGAACATCTAATTTATTTTCCTGATTTCAGCAGTCAGTGGGACAGATCCTTCAGCCAGCGCTGTAAACCATGGCTCCCAGTGGCATGGCGCCCACCATGTGCCACATGGCCTACAAGCTACTATTATTCAGCATCCCTTGCTCTTCCTAGGAGCCCCATAAAACCCACAGCAGACCTGCACTGAAGTCAGAAAAGCAAAATTTAAGAAAAAGGCCAAATGTGAGGGCAAAACTTTCCTCACTCTATCCAGGATGGTGCCAGTGGTTTCCTTTTCCCAGCCTCTAATCCAAGCTAAAAATTATATAAATGAACTGGAACCCACTCCAGTTAGAAGGCCCTAGATAAACCACAGTCAGTCCAGCCTCAGGAGGGATGCTCTGGTGGCCACACCCCCAGCAGCAGAGTGAGCAGCTCTCTGCACTAGCCCTGTGTTCTCACACAGAGGGGGTTAGTGGTACAGGACAAGGCCACCTTGAAAATATGTGGAACTGGGCTGTTGGGATTCCAGGGTAGTGTTTAGGGAAAGAATTACCATGTAAAAGAGTTAAGTAGGTTGAGCAAGAATTGAAAACAAAGGATTCTGGCTGGAGAGGTAGGAGAACAAGGGATGGAGTTCACAGAAAGATCACAGATCAGTTCATTCTTTCTCCTTGATACTTGTTGGTTAAGAGAAGGCATGGAACATCTTTGGTCTGAAAAAAAAAAATTCAGTAGCTTGTCCTGCTGTTGCGAAGTCAGCAAGTCAAATGCTGAGCTCTGCAAACTCTGAGCTCCCACCCTCAAAGGACTTAATGAGCATGGGGTGACTGATAGTTTGTGTGTCTCTAGAAGTTCATGGCTTTCCGTTAAGTAAGAGCAAGGGAATAAATGAACTCATAGTTTACTTACTTTATAAACAGACAACCAGCAAGGGAGAGCTACTTTGAGAATGATTTTGGTAACACAGCTGTGTGTCTGATACATGGGAAACCGTACCCCACAGCTCACAAGTATTTGAAGAAATTATTTATCCAAGGAAAGGATGGTCACATTTTCTTGAATGCCAATGCTAACTTAAGGGGGCTATATGCTTTGTATCCATACCAGATTTTCGTGTAAGGAACTGCCTCGACTTGGTAAATGAAGATGGAGAGTCATAGAATATAAAGATTTGATCGTTTGGTGTTTTTTTTGAAGCTTCAGATACCAGATGCTCCCAATACGTGTCTCTTCAGTGCTGTCCAGAAATCTCAGAAAGTTGTCCATACCATAAGAAGACAGCCACACGTGTTTTATACACTGTTCAGAGTTACAGCTTGGGAAAATATAGTTATTTTAACCCAGCTGTAAACTCTGCTTGGGTCATTCTGCAGTTTCAACACCAAGAGACTTCTTCCTATGGAAGAATGTTTTCCTCTTATCAGCACCGTACACACTAGCCATTTTTCCCACACCGATACAGTTTATCTTACTACCAGAAGATGTATTTGGTAATTTATGAGTCTAGAAACTGGAAACTAAAATGTGGTTTTAAAAAAGCGAAGGAGGTCAGTCTGAAAGGCTACCTACTATAGGACTCCAACCATCTGACATTCTGGAAAAGGCAGAATTAGAGACAGTAAAAATGTCAGTGGTGGCTGGAGTTATTGGGAAAGAGGAGGAATGAGTAGGGGGAGCCCAGGGACTTTAGGGCATTGAAACTATGACTCTTATGATACTGTAATGGTAGATACATGGCATTATACATTTATCAAAGCCCACAGAATACAAAACACAGAATGAACCCTGACATAAACTATGGGCTTGAGTTAATAACAACATACTAATCCTGGTTCATCAATTGTAAACCTGTGTACCACACTGAGATGTTAAAAATAGAGGTGCAGGGTGAAGGGGTATCTGAGAACTCTCTTTGCTTTTCACTCAGTTTTTTCAAAAAGCCTAAAACTACTCGAAAAAAGTGTTAACAAACAAACCAAGTTCAGCCTCATGGCCTGTCAGTGAGGTGGGGAAGGCGGTGGATGATGACGTCATTCTCCTGAAGTCTTCCGCGGTCCCCAGCATGTATCCTCCAGCAATTTCATTTGAAAATAACTCTCAGTATATTAAATCTTACCTTTCTAGTGGTCGTTGCTATTACTAGTCTCTTTATTTAAAAACAAACCAAAAAGAAGAAGCTTATAAAATTAGCTTACACTCTTCTCAAGAAGTTCCTGTTTTTCTGTCAGAGATTGTGTTACACCCCTTCCACATTCCACACAGTTGGTAATTTTGCCACACTGCCGAGACCTGCTTACTCTACCTTCTAGGTGTCTTGGCCAGAAAGAAAGTTGGCGCTTGCTACCTCCTTTTAGGTCTGTTCTGACCAGTCACTGGCCCTGGACAAAATCACAGGCTGAGTTCTATAGGAACTCAGCATAATCCTCTCTGTAGTATGGGAAGGGGGGGAAGGGTGGATAATAACCACAATGAATATCTATCCTCTGTAGAAAATGGCATTAGGAATAGCTCAGATACTGATGAGTAGTTGTGACTTGTAGAAGGAAACCCAATACTTACCCATTTTCAAATCAAAGGAAGAGGTGTACTAGATGCTGTATTTTATAGCATATAAAATGCACTTCCCTCTGGAGGGGAAAAAATGTGTCCAACAATGATCTTGTGTTCAATTTGCCTTGAACACACAGATATATCCGGTGACAGACAGGAAAGTGAACTGACATAGAGGCCAAGGGAATTCATATTATGTCATGATGTCTGTGGTGTCAGTACCCTCATGAACAAAATTAAGTTTCCTACCTATAAGTGCAGAGTAGAATCACGATCAAATGCCAGCAGAAGGAGCAAGATCTTCTCTACTCTAGACTGACAATCTGATTCTCCCCTATAATATTTTCCTGGACGTGATTTTCCACACAGAACTCTGATGAGAATGGAAGGAGTGCCGTTAGCTCATGGTGGGCCACCAAGTTCAGCGTTCAGTGTCTGCCTGCCACCAAAACACGTGTGAAGACAGCATGATAATTCACCTCTATGGCACCCAAAAGATGAGGAATACAAGTCAGTCATCTGATTTTCTCTGAAAATTCCATGACTTTAGCTACTTAGAACCTTACATGTTAACAAAGCTCTGAGGAAGGAGGTAGGGGGAAAAAATGAAAGAAATATGTGATCCTGTATTCTAATTTACCTCTCGAAGAGAGAAGAGACTTTTCGCCCTGAATGTTCTTCCTTTCTGTTCACGATAAAGTGGAACGTCTGGGCAGAATAAGAATCAGTCGAGGTGAGGAGAAAATCAACAGAGGGCTGAAGGGACAGTACCAACAGCTGAGGTTCTCTACCTCCAGACGGGCTAGCACGCATTTCATTACTTGCCTTAATGAGACACAAAACTCTTCAAGAAGGCAATCCTTGGAAAATACCTCCTAGGACATTTGTGTCTAAGGTTGCATTTGGGAAGTCACTTTGTCAACCCTATCTTGTGTCTCTTCCCCTTGCAGGGCGACAGGCTTTGGCTTCTTGAATGCCCTGTGCAAAGCAGCGGCCGTCCTTGGAAACTTAATATTTGGCTCCCTCGTCAGCTTCACCAAATCGATCCCCATCCTGCTGGCCTCCACTGTGCTGGTGTGTGGAGGACTGGTGGGCCTGCGCCTGCCGGACACACGAACCCAGGTCCTGATGTAATGGGGAACAAGCCATCCGTATACTGCATCTCTTTCTTCTGCCCTGTGTCGACCCTCCAGACTGACTCAAGGCTTCAGATTTTTTCAGATCTCAAAAGGTGGTAAAAGATCGGAACACTAACTCTTACTGTGACTGAAATGTAGATGTGTACTGTCCTGCCCCTTAGATGTGAGTTTGCAGTGTTTTTCATGCCTTCTTACCTTTCCTAACTGGGATGCTCCCAGCTCCCAAGAATCAGTCCGTGGAAGCATTTTTTTAAGTGTCCTCGTCAGCCAGGCCTCCCTAAGATTCTGCTCACTAAAGGCTGAGGAGCCTGGGCTGGCGTAAGAAATAGATCCTGCTTCTGATTTCACATTCACGAGAAATGTAAGTTGGCATATTGTTGCATTTGTGCTGAGGAGAGGGATTCTTTTTTTTTTTTTTTTTTTTTTTTTTTCAAACAGAGTGATATTTCCTGTTTACTTAGAAAAGGACACCCAGCAATTCTTGCTGTTACAGCAGGGCCTTTCAAAGAAAACCATGTGGCACCACACGGAGCTGGGTGGAGCTCTTTGAGGCCTGACAGGGAAGGTGGACTGCTAAAATGAGAGAGAAAGGCTGTGCCGCGAGCAGCAAAGATCTGAGTGAACGACAGAAGCTGGATTTCTGCCCCGTTCCAGTCCTGAAAAATCTGAGGAGGGAGCCGGGGTAGAGTCTATGAATGTGACCTATGGGCCAGAATGTTAGAAGATCAGAGACAGATCTTCTGCCTCTGTTTACCACATGCCCCGCCACCACCCTCCCCCTGCTGTCTTCTCCCCACCCTCACCCCAGCTACCCTTGATCTTGCCAGGGAGCAGATTCCAAGAGAGAAAGCCACTTTCTGAGCCCTGGGTCTGCCTGCCTGACTCTGCCCTTCATCCAAACTGTGTTCAGTCTAGAGATGGTCAGTCCTCTCTGTTGCTGTAAATTGCCCATGAGGAAGAAAGCCCCCCCACCCCGAACCATTTGGAAATGCAAAATGCTACTATGAGGGTGCCACCCTTTGGTGCCCCCACGCCCTTGACACTGGGCTTCCTCGCTGGCAGTGCTGAAGTGGGTCTTCTCCTCTAGTTTCCACTGGTCTGGGCGTTCCCCCTTGTCTGGCTCTTTGCGGAATCCCAGCCTGCTTAGTCCAAGCAAGGGGCCATCTGGCAGGCAAGGGCAGTGTCTCTGGTGGTTTGGGGCTGCTTGCTTTACCTCTGCAATCTGCCTGGGCCTGGAAGACAGAGGTCAGCAGGACATTCCCATGGGCTGTCAGCTATGTGACCTTCTCACCCCTCGGGCCTGCCCCTCCTCTAGGCTCATCCTTTTTACTCATCTTCTTTGAAATCTGAAGCCTCCTTATAGACTTGCAGCAGTGACCAGCAGCCAGGAATAAATCCCATATTAAAATAATAATCCTTTTTTTTTTTTTTTTTTTGAAACTCTGTGTTGTCAAAGGGTTATCCTTGTTACTTGTTATAGTCTTTCCAGCAAACCACAGCCCTGGGGCCCCGGGAAGGGAGAGCCTTTGTTTCCAATAGCCATTCCCTCCAAAGCCCCTTCCTAAGCCTGAAGGCACCCTTCCTCCCTCTCCCCTTCCTAATGGTGCTCCTGGAGCTCCAGAGTACAGAGTTCCGACTCTGAAATGTTTCTTCCATTAACGTAGCCATGGATCAACTACCCCCTTGAAGTCATTCAGGTGTGTAAAGGGGACAGCGTGGTGTGGGAGGCTGGCAGGAGGAGGGTGGTTCCCTGGGAAGGCCGGCTCAGGGCCAAAACAGCAGCAAAACGCCAACCCCAAACCGCAAAGGTGGCAGGAAGAGGGAGAATCAGTCAAGACTCAAAGAGATCTCTTAGCCAGATGCCAGCAAATCAGGGAAAGAAATGGAACCGACTCTCACTTCTGCCTCTGTAATATTACTGGAAAACAAACCTAGCATCCACACAGCCCAGGAAGGTACCCTGTATATTATCCGCCCACGTGGATTCATTTCCCTACCTACCCACCCCTTGATTCATCTTCTTAAAAAAGGCACATGTAGGAACCCGAGTGGGTCATTTTAGCTGAAGACAGCATGTACAATAACCACTACCAAAGTAAGATGTGTATGTTCACCAGCCCATTCAGAAGCAAGAGAAATGTGCATGGATGTCGCTGTCTCTAGTCTTCTTAACTTTCTGGAAGTCAAATTAGTCCAGTAAGCAAAGTTCACGATCATAAATGTCTCACATGTCTGTTGTAGCTCTAAATGTGTAGGAAATCTCCTGAGCTGCTGAGCATAGCAGATGCAGAGTTTTATTGGAACGCTGATTGGGTCAGAATGGGATAAATGAGCTGAACCCCACTTCGTGAGACCTGACACCATGCATCCCCTTCAAAAGGACCTTTCTGGGCCTTCCCGTCACCTGATCCAAGCCTCCCAGGTGGCCCAAGAGGGATCTATTCTAATCTCCTGGACAGTCTGTGGTCACAAACCTTCTTGGTCACCACCTTTTCCACCTTCCACGCAGTTTTCTCTGCCTCCTTTGCATTGTTCCTGTTGCCTTGATTTTCTCTGAGAGAGTTCAAGTTGTTCCCAAAGTATGTGGTCGGGCCTGTCTGGCTTGTTGTGGGGTTAGCTGGATTAAGATAGAGCCCTGCGATTGATTACACAGGAACTCAGCTCTATCCACGGAGCAGCCCGCTGGCGCCAGGACCAGTGACCAGCATCTCGTTTCACCCACAAAAGGAGGAAAATGAGAGTATGTGCCAAAAGGGAAGCCTAGGAAACCATTCCGCTTGCTCCTGTATTTCTGACTCCTGTTCTGGTGAAAATGTCCTCCTAGCTCTTTGGGATCAATTCAGAATGCCAAACCCACTGGCCGGGGATCACCTTAACACTCAGAATAGTGACCCTGGGAGAGAAGATAGTGGACCCTAGCTGCCTCTATCCTGAACATTACCTCCTCTCAGTGCTGGTTTGACAGTTATCATTGTCCGTTCAGGAAAGGGACACACCCGGTCACATGTACAGGGCTAGAAGACTCTCTGGTCACCATGCTATCACAAAGGCTTTGTCCTGTAGCTGTCCCGACTCCTTCCTCCCTTTTGTTCTTGAAACAGGAAGATGTAGGGCTGCAAAAACTGAGTTTTGAATGGATACCACCTAAGTTGGCAAATGCACCTCCGCTTCAGATCTCACCAAATCAGACTTCAGGTGTGTGCCAAAACCTGCTTTGCTGCTTCTCTGGATGTCTTTAGATATCATGGGAGAGGTGGGGAAAGAATGTAGTGTCAGCGAGAGAGTCCAAGATATTGCTGAGAAGGTTCCTGTGAAGGGCACACTGGAGACTTTCTAAATGCTGGGATCATTTCAGAGTCATTTCGTGGGAATACCTTTTGATTCCCTCTGCCAACCAAAATAGAATATGATAGTCTCCAGTTTTTTCTATTGAATATCAAAGTGGCCTTTATCTGTTTTTCATCTGTTCATGCACTAAAGGCTCTGAAGTCGGCAATGTCTGAATTTGACTTTTCCCTGGTATCGTAGAGAGACAAGTGATTGGTTGAAGCTGTGTACTGGCTGTACATTTGGTTTTCCTTTAACCCCCATGTCATGCTGCACTTAGTCCAGTGACAAGACCTATAGAAACACAAGTTAGGTGGCAAAGACAGAAAGAAATCTATACCATAGGGCACTCTGAAATGAACTATTCATTTCTTACAGTTTTCAGTTTCTGCCAAACAATGTACGTTTTGAGGAAAGTTTTCCTCACAATCTGTATGATGTCGACAAAATTATCAGTGTCTCCTAGACATATGTGTCCCTTTATTGTTCCGGGTATGGAGTGCCAGTCCTCCGTGTAATGTTCTCTTGCTCCAAATGTTGACCATTCCTCCTATTAGCAGCATCGCATCAACCAGACACACCATTGCCAGAAATTTCTTGGCTCTTTCTCCAGCCATACCTAGATCTGAGTAATCCCAAAATTTTGAGTTACAAGGATATGGTTTGTGGATCTGCATTGTTTAAGGCCAGCAAGGCTGGGTGGGGCAAAGCATTTACTCTTGTCCTTCCATGTGATTATTTGGTAAATACTGATGGAGCACTTCGCATGCGCCGGGTTGGGGCAGTGTGCTTCCTGCGGATAGTGAACCATTTGCAGGACTTAAGTGAAGGCAGAAGAAATAGGCATGAAAGAGAAAACAGCTATAATGGGGTTTCATATAGAAACCCCTTCCCTATAACACAAAGTGTTGTTTTCCCAAACAGCTGAGAAATTACTCAGACATTAGGACTACCTTTGAGCAGAAGGCCCCTCAGTTTCTTGGCCTTTGTTGGAGGAACTATAGATTAGTACTTGGAAAATAAGAGAAATGAAGGCACACATACACCTGCTTTGAATGCCTCGGCTTGAAATCCACACTAAGGTATTAGTCAAGGAAAGGAAGCAGCAGCAAAGATGGCCCCTTCTTCGTAGAGACATTGACTTTTAAAGTTCCGGAGTTCTTTGCAGGGCCTGAGAGGCGAGGTGGGGGCTGTGAAGTCTGGTCCGGTGCAGAGTCAGCCTCCCCCTCAGCAGCAGCCCTGTCCCCTGCCTCAGCTTCCTGGGCTGTTTCCTTTCTGATTCTGAAGATTGGTGACGGCAACGTCCACTGTGTTTGCAAATATGCCGGAGCCTCTTTGCTCCCTCTCCCTTCGGCAGATAAACCACCCAGAAAACGGGTTCTGACCATAAGTCGCCAGAGGTTTTCAGATTTCAGTTCAAAACCAGTGCAGAGTTGTTGCAAAGTGTCTTGATGCTGCAAGGACCTTTGGGGCTCTGGGGCCTGAGGGGAGACAGAGCAGTGAAAGTAGTGGGTAGTAATCCTCCACCCTCCCCTCTGAGAGCCCCGATTTGCTTTTTCACCCACTAACCCACCCCCTTTTTACCTCCCCCAGGCAGTACACACTCACTTCCTTTCTTCCCCATCTACTTTTCTTCCTCCTTGCCTCCTCTGGTCATCTCTTGATTCCAGCCATGTACAGAGGCCAGGCCAAGCTTTCCTGGTACGCTTGGGACTAAAGAGTGCACTCACCCCTGCCTCTGGTGGAGGCCCAAAGGATGCAGAAGGTATTGAAATCAGTGGGTATGGGGGAGTCTAAGCTCCAGACTCTTGGTGTTGACACAGCTCCCTGAACCAGGAGAGCTTTCCAACTGCTTCTCCATCCCACGCTTGATTAGATGGCCACCAACGGCCTGGGATCCGAAAGAGGCCCATGTCTGGGGCAGAAGTCTGAGAGCTTAGCATTGGATTCCCGAAAGAAAGATGAGGCAGCCTGCCGTGAGGCTCTTGGAATTCACTGACCCGTGAGAGGTAGAAGCCCCACTCCAGGCCTGTCGAGGGTCTGCCCAGTGCCGAAGGCTGGGAGCTTTTTATTCCAATTTAAATGCTGACA